GCCGCTGCGATCCCGGCGGCTCCCGCCTGGCACCCGGATCCGCAGCCGGATCCGGCGCCTGCGACAATCCTGCCGGAGCAGCCGGATCCTCCGGAAGCGGCGCCGCCTCCGCGCCCTTCGGATCCTATGGGGCAGGATCCGGATCCTACGGATCGGCCGGATCCTACGGATCACCTGGATCCTATGGGGGCGGCTCCGGATCCCATGGGGGTGGATCGGGATCCTATGGAGCGTCTGAATCCTATGGAAGCAATTCCGGATCCTATGGGGGTGGATCCGGATCCTATGGGGGTGGATTGGGATCCTACGGATCACCCGGATCCTATGGGAGCAGCTCTGGATCCCATGGGGGTGGATCGGGATCCTATGGGAGTGGGTCTGGAGCGGGGAGACCCGGATCCCAAGGAAGCGGATCCGGATCAGGGAGACCCGGATCCCATGGAAGCGGATCCGGATCGGGACGACCTGGATCCGGTTGGGGAAGTGGATCCCAAGGAAGCGGATCCGGATCAGGGAGACCCGGTTCCCAAGGAACCGGATCCGGATCGGGACGACCCGGATCCCAAGGAACCGGATCTGGATCCGGATCCGGATCGGGACAACCTGGATCCGGCTCCCAAGGGGGCGCCGGATCCTCCGGGAGCGGCTCGGGATCCTACAAGTTGCCGACCGCCTATGGGGAGGATGCGGGATCCTACGGATCCCAGGGATCCTATGGGGGCGGAGCGGGATCCTATGGATCCGAGGGATCCTATGGAGGCGGATCGGGATCGTACGGGGGCGGATCGGGATCCTATGGAGGAGCAGGATCCTATGGATCCCAGGGGTCCTATGGGGGCGGCTCGGGATCCTACGGATCCCTGGGATCCTATGGGGGATCCCGGCGCCCCGTGTACAAGAATCCCGGGATCCCCTTCGTGCCAGCGCTGCGGGATCCCGCCCGGATCGGGGGCCACATCCCCGTGCGCCGGCCCGGAGCCGGGATGGGATCCGGATCGGGGATGGGATCCGGGATGGGGACGGGATATGGGATGGGATCCGGATCGGGGACGGGATCCGGGATGGGGATGGGATACGGGATGGGATCCGGATCGGGGATGGGATACGGGATGGGATCTGACTCCGGGACAGGATCCAGATACGGCTCCCGCCCCGGGATGGGATCTGGCATGGGATCCGGCTCCGGGATGGGATATGGATCCGGATCCCGCCCTGGGATGGGCTCTGGGACGGGATCCGGATCTGGGATAGGATCCGGCTCCGGGATGGGATATGGATCCGGATCCCGCCCTGGGATGGGCTCTGGGATGGGATCCGGCTCTGGAATGGGATACGGAACGGGATCCGGCTCCAGCTCCGGGATGGGATCCGGCTCCGGGATAGGATATGGATCCGGATCCCGCCCTGGGATGGGATCCGGGATGGGATCTGGCTCTGGAATGGGATCCGGCTCCAGCATGGGATATGGATCCGGATCCCGCCCTGGAATGGGATACGGAATGGGATCCAGCTCCGGGATGGGATCTGGATCCGGGACGGGATCCAGCTCCGGCGAATCCCAGTCCAGCTGCGGCGGCTGCGACAAGTAGGAGCTCCCGGACGCCGGGGCCCTTCCCGGACGCCGGGGCCCTTTCCCGGACGCCGGGGCCCCTTCCCGGACGCCGGGGCCCTTTCCCGGACGCCGGGGCCCTCCCGGACGCCGGGGCCCTCCCGGACGCCGGGGCCCCTCTTGCTGCCCCACAGATGAGCGTTGGGGGGGGAAAAGGGGCCCAGGCGTCCGGGCCCTTGAATTTAATTCCCAATTGAATTAAATAATTGGATTTAATTCCTATTTGTGTAGTCGAGTAATTGAATAAGCGAATTTAATTCCCAATTCTTGAAGATTTGAATTTAATTCGTAATTATTGGATAATTGAAGAATCAAATTGAATTCCTAGTTATTGAGTAGATGAAGAATCGAATTTAATTCCTAATTATTCAATAATTGGATTTAATTCCTAATTATTGAGTATTTGAATTTAATTCCTAATTATTCAATAATTGAATAAGCAAATTTAATTCCTAATTATTGAATAATTGAATTTAATTTCTAATCACTGAATGATTGAAGAATCGAATTTCATTCCTAATTCTTGAGTAACCAAATAATTGAATTTAGTTCCTAATTATTGAATAACTGAAGAGTCGAATTTAATTCCTAATTATTGAATACTTGCGTGGAATTCCTAATTCCTAATAATTCCTAATTCTAATTCCTAATTCCTAATAATAATAGAATTTAATTCGTAGTTATTGGGTAATTGAATAATGGAATTTAATTCCGGATTATTGAACAATGGAATTTCGTTCCTAATTATTGAAGAATTGAAGGACCGAATTTCAATCCTAATTAGTGAATATTTGCAATTCGTTCCCGATGGAATCGGTGCCGGGCGCCCAGAGGCGGAACCTCTAGAGATCATCCAGTCCAACCCCATCATGGTTGGAAGGGACCTCTGGAGATCATCCAGTCCAACCCATCATGGTTGGAAGGGACCTCTAGAGATCATCCAGTCCAACCCATCATGNGAGATCATCCAGTCCAACCCATCATGGTTGGAAGGGACCTCTAGAGATCATCCAGTCCAACCCATCATGGTTAGAAGGAACCTCTAGAGATCATCCAGTCCAACCCCATCATGGTTAGAAGGAACCTCTAGAGATCATCCAGTCCAACCCCATCATGGTTGGAAGGGACCTCTGGAGATCATCCAGTCCAACCCATCATGTTTGGATGGGACCTCTAGAGATCATCCAGTCCAACCCCATCATGAAGGTTGGGAGGGACCTCTAGAGATCATCCAGTCCAACCCATCATGGTTAGAAGGAACCTCTGGAGATCATCCAGTCCAACCCATCATGGTTGGGAGGGACCTCTGGAGATCATCCAGTCCAACCCATCCTGGTTGGGAGGGGCCCGGACGCCTGGGCCCCACACAGCAGCACCCTCGGTTGCTCCACAGCTTTTATTGCTCTCCCATAAATCCTTCCCCGGACGCCGGGGCCCCTCCCGGACACCGGGGCCCGCTCAGTCGCGCTGCGGCCGCAGCTTCATCTCCGTGAAAGGGATGGAGAAGTCGAAGCCCTTCCAGGGGAACCAGTTGATGCCCTGGGGAGAGCAGAGCCTATAGGCGCCTATAGGGGCTCTATAGGGCTCCAGGGCCCCTATAGACCCCCTTATAGCCCCATAGATCCCCATAGGTCCCATGACCTCCCATAGCCCCCATAGTCCCCCATGGCCCCCATAGGTCCCCTATAGCCCCCATAGTCCCCCATAGGTCCCATAAGGTCCCTGCTATCTCCTAGGCCCCCCATAGGTCCCCTGTGACCCCTAGGTCCCTATAGCACCCATTGGACATGGGCACCATGGCACCTGATGGTCACCAAGTGTCTCATAGTCCCCATAGGTCCCCCAGGGCCTCCATAGGTCCCCCATAGATCCCATAGCCCCCATATCTCCCATCACCCTCTGTAGCCTCCATAGGATCTTCATGGACCCCATAGACCTCCATAGTCTCCATGGGTCCCCCGTGTCACCTGGTGATCACCAGGTGTCTCACAGTCCCCATAGGTTCCTCATGGTCCCCATAGGTGCCCCTTGAATCCCATAGCTCTCAAAGGTTCCCCATGGGTCCTCGGTGTCACCCAGTGGTCACTGGGTGTCTCACAGTCCTCACAGCCCCCATGGGTCCCACATAGTCCCCATAGGTTCCCCATGGCGCCCACAGCTCCTATACGTTCCCCATGGCCCCCATAGGTCCCCGATGTCCCCCATGCCCCCCATGTCACCTGATGCCCGTGGGTCTCCCCATAGCACCCGTTGAGGTGGGCAAAGTGGTGGCCACAGACCCCGTGGCCCCATGGATCCCATGGATCCCCCCATAGCTCCCATGGGTCTCCAATGTCCCCCATGTCCCCCATGGGTCCCTGATGTCCCCCCATGTCCCCATGTCCCCCTCGTGTCACCTGGTGCCCTTTGGTCTCCCCATAGCGCCCGTTGAGGTTGGTGTCGTGGTGGCCACAGACCCCATAGCTCCCCAATGTCCCCATGTCCCCCATAGGTCCCTCATGTCCCCCTCATGTCACAGACCCCATGGCCCCATGGATCCCCCCATAGCTCCCATGGGTTCCTCATGGCCCCAATGTCCCCAATGTCCCCATGTCCCCAATGTCCCCCATAGGTCCCTGATGTCCCCCATGTCCCCCATGTCCCCCATGTCCCCAATGTCCCCATGTCCCCCTCGTGTCACCTGGTGCCCTTTGGTCTCCCCGTAGCGCCCGTTGAGGTTGATGTAGTGGTGGTCACAGACCCCATGGCCCCATGGATCCCCCATAGCTCCCATGGGTTCCCCATGGCCCCAATGTCCCCAATGTCCCCCATAGGTCCCTCGTGTCCCCATGTCCCCCATGTCCCCTCGTGTCACCTGGTGCCCTTTGGTCTCCCCATAGCGCCCGTTGAGGTTGGTGTCGTGGTGGCCACAGACCCCACAGCTCCCCAATGTCCCCCATGTCCCCAATGTCCCCATGTCCCCCATAGGTCCCTCATGTCCCCATGTCCCCAATGTCCCATGTCCCCCCGTGTCACCTGATGCCCTTTGGTCTCCCCATAGCGCCCGTTGACGTTGGCGTAGTGGCAGTTCCGATACCACCAGGCGCCCGCGTAGGACACGGCGCAGGGCCGGGCTCGGCCGCGCCAGCGCCGGTCGCGCGTCGAGAAGGGGCTGCCCGCGTGGTAGCCCAGGGCGT